TATTCAAGAACAGAGTTGTATCATAAATAAAGATATGAAAGAGATATATATGATACCATATCTTAATACAAAAAAAAGTACTAAAAGAGCTCAGATGTTAACAATCCTATGTTCCACAATATCTTTGGAAAGAGCAATCAGAAAAACAATAGATAGCAATTGAGTATTTGTACAAAGTTTGTAGGGATCAGCCCAGCAGTCCACTTTTCAAAATACCAAGATGGATTATGTAAATATAGAAAGTTGAGAAGAAATGATCATTAAAGAAAATGTTAAAAAAGGAGTATATCAAGATCACCTATTAGAGATACTCCAGTGTAATCTAGGATTTAAACAAAAGTTTATTTTCTATTTAGATAGATCACTAATAAATTATGGCAGTGACAATATAAAGATAGGAGCAACATGGATCCAAATAAGTGATACAGAAAAAGAAAGTAGATTTCAAACAGGAGTAGACAGTTGACCCACATTCACACGTGCAGAATTAACAGCAATAGTCACAATATTTCTAATAGTTCTAGTAGATAGCTCAATTGAAATCTCTATAGATAGTCAAGCCTATATCTCGAAGTGGAAAATAGTTAGAAAGATGATTCAAAAAAAATATATAAAAGATGGCTAAAGGATAAAAACTAGTCATTATGGATACAAATGTAGAGCTGATCAAGAAAAAAGATCTAGATCTGAAGCTTATCAAGATCAAGACACATTCTCAAGATTTCATAATGATGAAGTAGATACTCTAGCCAAAGACACTTTTAAACTTCTAGCAATAGAATGAAAAAATCTTACCTTATACAAAATCCCTATAGAAATCAAGTGGCAGAACAAAACTTTAGATGATCCCATAAGACAATTCATCAAGAAAATAAATAATAAGACTATAGTATATTAGTGGATATTACAAAATAGAACGGAAAGGAAATGGAGTCACCAAATTCAAGAACGACAAGGTTATACATGGGATCTAGTATGGGAGAGAATGAATAGCTATATATGGGATACATCTTTCAAAGATTGTCAAAAAAAAAACTTCCTGATTAAGCTAATAAATAATGAGCTACCAATATTGAGTAAGCTGACAATAAGAAGGTCAGACCTATACAAGCAAGTGAAATGTACTGCATGTAATCTTCAGGAGGAAGAAACAATTAATTATTTGCTAGAATGTCTAGCGTATAAGGAACAGATGAAGAAGATATAGAATAAAGATCTTAAAGAAGTTCTAATAAATTCAGAAAACTTTCATAGAAAATGAAAAAGAAAGTAGAAGAGAAGAATTCTAGATAAATAGTGGATGATGGTGAAGAAATGGGTAAAGTACACAAGTAGACATTCAGGCTAGTAGAACAGTTCTCAGCAACTAGTCAGGATATATTAAGTTTCTTTGTAGGGTTAATAAGAAATAAATTCATTCTCGAGATGGCAGACCTTAAATGCCATGGTAAAAGAATTAGAAAAGAAGCAAGAAGATGCAAAGTACGACTTATAATTAGTTCCAAAAAAAGATTTGGAATGCAAGATATGAAAGGATGATAAAATGAAAATGATTACAAGGAATCCAAAAGAAGAATAAGATAAAAAAAACCCTTAACCTTCCAGGTGCCAAAACTATATAACTGAAAAGGAAAACTCTGATATTGGAAAAAGAAAGATTAGAAGATAAAGATCTAAAAGATATTTTATTAAGAGAGGTTAAATTTGAAATGAGATGGTTGGGTTTTGAGTAATATCAGAACTTAAAGAGTGATCTGCAGTAGTAACCTGCAGGCAATGATATTAAGAGTTAAAAGGGTTTTCATCTGAACTCCTAATGGAGTAATAAATCATTCCCAAAGTTGTACTTAGAGTAGTAATTACAAAGATGAGTGAGCTAGTTAGCATTTTTTAGTTTTAGCGATTCATGTTATATGTATAGTTTACAAATGTTTAATAAAGCACACATAACTAGCTTGACAGAGGATTAAAAAAAAAAAATAATAATAATAATAATATAATTGATAAAAAAAAAAAAAAAATACAAATAATTCACTAAGAAGATAAAATCAGAAAACCCGAAAGACTTCTATATAAAAAAAAATAAAAAAAATAAAAAAGAAAAGAAAAGATTGAAGAAAAAATACAAAAGAAAAAAAATCTTGTTACTGATTTTTGATTATAAGCAATGATATAAAGGTTTTACCTAATCTGCTAATGGAGTTAACTTTAGTGATACATGAATTTATGTACAGCATGCAATTGTTTATAAAGCACAAGTAATACCATTCAATTCTCAATATGAAAATTGTTAGCACATTATGTTATAGAAAAAAGGGGTTTCAAAGGAAAAGAAATTCCGGTTTACAAGTTTTCTTTCCTTTTTCATATTCAATTGAATTTCCAAAGTTTATGAAGCTGCGATCATAACTTCGCACAGAGATTATTATTATTATGTGATTGTTCTCAACAATAAGCGGATTGTTAAAGGTTTAAATTTTAAAAAGATCTGATGGTATCATTACGTTTAAAAGATAAGTAGATACTGTAAGTTTGATCAAGAATTTTTGTGGGGTGTGTACAGCATTACACATAATTATTTCTTGTTTAAAAATAATCATTCAATTTTTCCGTTTTGGCTAAATTGACCAATCTTATAGTGCACAATGAACGAGAGAAATGATGCATTCTTTGTTTCAAACCATTAATTATTTTCTGAACGAGATAAGATTACGCCTTTAACAGTTTATAATTTGATCGCCGACATTAAATATGTATTAATTGGGATACCTCGCATTACAGACCATTGTTCGAGCTTTGTCCTCGGACTCAAGACTCAACAAACAGAAGCATAGGTGAAAACAAACTGGTTATTCTTTTTCCTACAACCTAACTTAATCCTAGAAATCCAACATTTTTTTTTTTTTCTTTGAAAACACTTTAATGTTTATGCGCCACCTTAATCCGAATAGCCACTGGTCAAAGGATACACATGTATTTTATGACGTACGTACGCAACAAATTCACTGACATGTGAACTTCAATGGGATTAATAGGAGCAACCGAATTTTTTCCAAATAAAAAAAAACCGCATTAATCACTCCACTATCTCGTGCTTATTTTGCTTATTAAAAAAACTTCTACCTTAGGTGGTAGTGAAATAAATAATAAAGAAGAAAGTTTGAGACCTCTTCGTTTATTATTATTACTTTATATTTAAGCAAGCAACTTTTACCCCTTATATATACCTTGGTGTTAATTATTCTCAGGCTTCTCTTCCATAAATTCAAATTGAGCTCCGTTTTACCCTATAGGGGTCATACTCATTGCTCCACAACTATTACTGACAATTCCCACCAAATACAGTATTTTGATTTTATCTAACCAAGCAGCAAAGAACGTTCAAACTTTGGCTACGTTTCAACTATAATTACTTTCTAAAATATTATTAATCTTACAAAAGGTATGTTCCTCAAAATCAAATAAAAAAATCCTCAGCCATATGCTCAACTTTTAATGCATACTCTATGACAGCTTCAGCATACGTGGCATAATGAACACATCAAATAACAGTAATTCTTCAAACAAAACACCAAATAACAGAAGGGTCGTCGATAGCGAGTTTAGATATAAGACCGTTGATGATATTTGTGTTGAAACGAACTTATATAGTATACTTGGTGTTGATCGATCCTGTACATCTGAAGAACTAAGAAAAGCCTATATCAGCGTATGTATTTTTTCTTTCTTTCTTTCAACTGTTGGCTTCTATCTTATTCTACATACTTTTACATTAGAGGTCAAGAATTTGTCATCCGGACAAGTTTCCCGAGTATCCCAAAGCAACTGAAGCTTTTCAAAGTTAGCATTTTCTTCTGTTTCAACATGTAATTTACGCACGTGAAAAGAGAAACGCAATTATCTTATATACGTACTTAATTAGAACTGGCATATGCCTACGAAACGCTTAATAAACCATCCTCACGACGTGCGTACGATGTATCCGGGACCAGTGACCTTGGTAGTGTAAATGGCACAGGTGATGAAACATTACACGGCGTTCTATATCAGGTGATTAATCTTCTAGTTGTTTTCATTCTGTGCGCGCGCAAATCTAAATTTAAAATTTTTCGTTTAGATGTTTTTGGAATTTATGGATGGCGATTTTGAAATGATCCGTGCATTAGTTAGTGAGTATACTTTCTGCATACTATGCCAATTGCTTTTTGACTGATTAGTTTTACTAAATAGCATGTTAACTTTTTACTTTAAGATGCGCTTAATGAAGGTAATCCCGGACTTAATCTTGGCGATGACGCCATTGAAACTTTGGAGACCGCTTTCCGAAGAATGAGAGAATTGCTTTTAGGTAAGTTTTTCGTCCCTCTTCCCGGCAAATTAAGGTCGTGATGACTTTATTAATTATTTGCATTATATTAGCTGGTAAAAAATATGTCAAAATTGTTCAATTCGAATTGATTCGTCTTTATGAGATTCAACAACAACTCCGAGCTCTTTCATACTTTGATGTATTTGGTCGTTTAAGACTAACCATGCAATTAGCTCGATTAACGCTAACCATACCAATGCTGATTGATAAATCGATGAAAGCCGAATTTGAACAATCAGGTGTTAAAGGCGTGAACAAAGGACTACTAGGTGATGGCATGGCCAAAGTAATTGGAGGTTTGGTTGCTGTGTTGGAACGAGGCGAACAATTCGTGTGATGTATTGTTCCACTAATCGAATTTGAAGCAAAACCGTTCCTTTAAGGACATGTAAGATTGGGAAAAAAAAAGTACACTTAAAATCTCATTACCGCAACTTATAGATTTTATTATTGTTACATATTATAAAAAAAAATTTTTTTTTTTCTTTTTTTTTTTTTTTCTTTTTATACATTGCATGTATATATCAGTAAACAGTAGCCAGTAGAAACGTCGAAACCCGGAGTTTTTTCTACTACTTTAATATTATTGCCATTCAACTTTGATTTATAATTTTTATTTATACAGTAGATTATTTTAAACATATATTAGTTGAAATAAAAAAAAGATTTTTAAATTTACGAAATTTTTAATATAATTTAAATAGTCTAGATAAAATTTTGAATTATAATAAAAATTGTGTTTATATTTTATTGCAACAAATTTTAAAAGAAGATTAAGTATCAATCTTTTAAAAAAAAATTTTTTATAGAAAATAATTTCAATAAAATTTTAAAATCTAATTATATTAAATTCAAATATATAAATATAATTTCATATAAAATCAATAAATATTATGAATAATATAATATTAATAAAGATCAACAATAAATAACAAAATATAAATGATACGGTTGCTTCCAAAAGTTTGAGTCCACTTACTATGTTTTTATTATAAATTTCAACTTTAACAATTTTTAAATCA